AGATCACCTGAGGTTGGGAGTTCGAGACCAGTCTGGCCAACATAGTGAAACCCCATCTCTAATAAAAATATAAAAATTAGCCAAGCATGGTGGTGGGTGCCTGTAACCCCAGCTACTTGGGAGGCTGAGGCAGGAGAATCACTTGAACCCAGGAGGTAGAGGTTGCAGTGAGACCAGATCACACCACTGCACTCCAGCCTAGGTGATAGAGCGAGACTCCATCTCAAAAACAAACAAAAAAAACCCAGAAGGATGGTTATCAGATGCTACAAAGGACAGTGGGCAGGGGAGGTGGAGTAGGGATGGTTAATGCATACAAAAATACAGTTAGAATGAATAAGACCTAGAATTTGATAGCATCACAGGATGACAATAGTCAACAATAATTTATTGTACATGAAAAAATAACTAAAAGTATAATTGGATTGTTTGTAACACAAAGAAAGGAAAAATGCTTGAGGTGGATACCCCATTTACCCTGATGTGATTATTACACATTAAATGCCTGTATTAAAATATCTCACATATCCCCTAAATACATACACATACTATGTACCCACAAAAATAAAAATAAAGATAAAATGAGCCAGGCGCGGTGGCTCACACCTGTAATCCCAGCACTTTGGGAGGCTCAGGTGGTGGATCACCTGAGGTCAAGAGTTCAAGACAGCCTGGACAACATGGTGAAACCCTGTCTCTCCTAAAAATTAAAAATAAGCAGGTCATGGTGGTGGACTCCTGTAATCCCAGCTACTCGGAAGGCTGAAGCAGGAGAATCACTTGAACCTGGGAGGTGGAGGTTGCCGTGAGCCGAGATCGTGCCATTGCACGCCAGCCTGGGAAACAAGAGAAAAACTCCATCTCAAAAAAAAAAAAAAAGATAAAATGACATAGTATTTCCATATAACCTATACACATCCTCTCATATATTTGAAGTCATCTGTAGATTACTTATAATACCTAATATAATGGAAACAGTTGTCTATTGTTTTATTTGTATTGTTTCTTATTGTCATATTGTTACTTTATCATTGTTTTTTCAAATATTTTCTATCTGCGGATACAGAACCTATGAATCCAGAAGGTCGACTGTATATCAAATCAGTATTTACTAGTATGTAAGAAATCCATTTCAAAAAGTAACTAAGGGAGGAGGGGGAAAAAAATTAATAAAGTATCTTAGAGCTATGATAGCCTCACCGCACTCCAATTTGGCCACAAAGTAAGAAAGACTCTGTCTCTAAAAATAAAATATCTTAAAGGTTTAAAAAGATCTTAGTTATACTGCTTTATATATATTAATATGTATATTACAATGTATGTTTTTTCAATCATGGAGACTTAATTTAACTTTCCTGTTTAACTTGTCTGACTGTTTACATTTTAACCGCAACCAATTCACACTAGTCAACTCCAGCTGTATAAATTATCTGTTAAATGATATCTCCCGGTGGAGTGGGAGCAGAAAAAAAATCTTTTTAATGATATCAAACATTTATACAAAACAATTTATTTGCTAAAAATGACTTGCAGATTGACTGGCTGACAATAACTTCAGTATCATAAAATGAAGGAATTGTTTCAGAGGTGGCATGTTCTGGTCCCTGAAACAGCAGCCCTGAGTGCTCTCCCAGCTGTCATCTTTTTCATTTTGCTAGCCACTCTGAAGATTTTGAGAAGAGCCATGTAATTAAGAAACCTATTTGCAACTTAATATAACAAATGATTTATATCCCTAACGAATATAAAGCACTTGCAAATAAAGAAACAAATGATCAAAAGCCCAATGGAAAAATAGGCATAGTACATGAGTAGGCATTTTACAAGTAGAAATACAGATGGAAAATAAAATGTGAAAAATGTCGAACAGTAATCAAATAAATGTTAACTAAAACTGTTATCACCTTTTCTCCATCATCAGTGGTTATCTTCAAAGGGTAGGATTACAGGGTCTTTTTTTTGTTGCTTATCTAAATTGTGTAATTTCTATCAATAGTATCTAATAAGTATATAAAAGAATAGTTCAGTAGCTGGGCGGTAATTACCACTTCAAAGAACAGTGATACAGTAATAACTCATCACCAACTCATCACCAGGATGGCCCAAGAAAACAAACCCATGGAAAATGAAGTGTATCATCACTTCAAAACCTACTATAGGCCGGGCATGGTGGCTCACACCTGTAATCCCAGCACTTTGGAAGGCTAAGGCAGGTGGATAACTGAGATCAGGAGTTTAAGACCAGCCTGGCCAACATGGTGAAACTCTGTCTCTACTAAAAATACAAAATTAGCTGGGCGTGGTGGCATACACCTGTAATCCCAGCTACTCGGGAGGTTGAGGCAGAAGAATCGCTTGAACCCGGGAGGCAGAGGTTGCAGTGAGCCGAGATCACGCCACTGCACTACAGCCTGGGCAACAAGAGTGAAACTCCATCTCAAAAAAAACAAAACAAAACAAAAAAAATCCCACTATATACCATGCTCTTTTCTCTCTTTCAGGCTGTTTTCTTTGTCTAGTTCTTTCCTCATATCGATAAATTTGCCAGTTCCCCATGTCTATTTCCTTTATGTTTATCAGGTCAACCCACTGCTAATCCTTTCACATAGCTGGTAAAGCCACCTTTGACAGTACCAGCTATCTTCCTGTATCTATCTTCTCGTAAGATGACTTTATCATGTCACTTCTTTGCTCATTAAGTTTAAACTCTTTAAATGTGGCGCTCAAGTTCCTTCACAAAGGAGTCTGACCTGACTTCTGGACTTCTGAATTACTCCTATCCAGTAGGATTCCTAAACTCCAAGCTAATAGGCCTTCTCTACTGTCCTTTGAATAAGTAGAGGAGGCCCAACTGTTTCTATCTCATTCCTTATTCATCAAACACTATTTGGATGAAGATGCTGTCTTAGTAGTTTAAGATTGGGAGGATGAAGGATACAAAATGAAATATTTAGTATTAATATCCAATATAAGCTATGTGCTAAAGGAGTGGTAGACACTATTCATTGATGCATATTTTCCTTTTCCCTTTAACTGGTCACATATTAAAGAATAAAATGTTTATTTTACTTTTTTTTTAAATACAGTGTCACACTATATTGCCCAGGCTGGTCTCAAACTCCTGGTCTCAAGGAGTCCTCTTGCCTCGGCCTTCACAAAGTGCTGGGCTGAGCCATGCACCTGGCCAAGAATAAAATTTTTAGCACTTGTATTTGTTGAACTATGTCTTCTCAGGACATTAAATTTAGTTGTAATAATCTTTAACTTTTCAAAGAACAAACATACCTCTCTCACTATTGTTTGTATTTGTGTAAATTTTCAGGCTTTTTTTTTTTTCCATTACTGATCTGTAGCTTAACAGAAATAATTTTCTACAGCAGTTCCATTTATTCCACAACTCTTAGGACATTCAGTTACAGTTAAAAGAGCAAGAACTTTGCAATGACAAAGGCCAAGATTAGCATTCTGAATTCTATCCCCCACCCCTGTTTTTTCAGCAGTGTGACTTTAGGAAAATTGTGACCTCTCCAAATTTCTTTCCCCTAACTCTAACACGGGGATAATAATACCTACTTCATAGGGTTATTGTAAACATTAAATGAGTAAGTGGAAACTACTTCATAGTCCTTGATACATACTAAGAACTCTACAAATAGAAATTATCAATACAATTATTACTATTCAACAGCAAGAGCACTACTGTCTAGAGTATCTGGTAACTCCGATTTTGAAAACCTGAGCGCAAGATAATGAGACTCACTGTAGCAGTTACCTAAATTCTGGTAGTACAAACTAAATAAGCACTGTCTACACTTTAATATGTCCCTTATTTTACTTGACCCCTCTAGAAAGCAAGTTATTACACGTATGATTATTTATCATGACAGAGCATATAAATATATAAAATAACTGAAATGATATAATGTCTGGGATTTGCTTCAAAATAACCCAGGGTAGCCGGGTGCGGTGACTCCCGCCTGTAATCTCAACACTTTGGGAGGCCAAGGAGGGAGGATCGCTTAAGCCCAGGAGTTCAAAGACAGCCTGAGCAACATAAGGAGACCCCAGCTCTACAAAAGGGCGGGGGCGGGGGAGAAGTTAGCCGGGCTTGGTGATGCCTGCCTGTAGTCCCAGCTAGCGGGGAGGCTGAGGCGTGAGGATCGCTGGGGCCCAGGAGGCGGAGGCTGCAGTGGGTCGAGATCCCGCCACTGCACTTCAGCCTGGGTGACAGAGACCCTGTCTCAAAAACGCAAAATAACCCGGATTAGGGGAGCAAGACTGCCCATGTATTGATAATTACTGAAACTAGGTAATGAGTACAGTGAATTCCTTATATCGTTTGTTCAATTTCTCACAGTTTGAAGATTTCCATAATAAAATGCTGTTGTTGTTAATGCCCAAAGGCCGGCTTTGGGGCTTCCTGCAAACTCTGGTCATGGTCAGAAGATACACTGGTAAGTTTTAGGAGGCGAAAAGTGACACAGCAACCACGCGAAGCTGGTTAAACTTTCCGGCAGACCACCGAGCGCACTGCTCCTCTCGGACGCCGGCCTGAGTGCACCCGCGCAGTCGGGCTCCCGAGCCCGGGAAGGGCGCAGCCCCCAAGGGAGCCGCCGCGAAGGGCGGTCGCCCCAGGACCGCCGCCTGGCGGCCGGCGCGGGAAACGGGGGTCCGAAAGATGGACCGAAGGTCGGGGGTGGGGGCAAGAAGCATAGGGGTAGATAGGCGGGTGGGCGAGTCTCAGCCTTCAGGGCAAGTCAGCCGACTTCCCTCGGCTTCTCCGGAGCCCCGGACCCACGCGCCCTCAGCCGAGGCAGTCTCTGCCTCCCGGCCGCGGGGCAAACACCCAACCGGCCCAGGATCCCGCCGGTCTCCCTGCGTTCCCGAACCGAGCTCCTTCAGCTCCTGTCCTGATTCCAGGGCATCCCATGGCCGTCAGGCCTGCAGCCGACTTCATTACCCCGTCGCCAACCGCTTTGCCGAGTTCCCACCCAACTCACCTCCGCCGCGCGGCAGCCAGCACCCGCTCCGGCTCCTCAGGCTTCCAGCTTGGCTGTCCCGTGGCGTTGCTGCCAATCAGCCAATCCCCGCCCCAAGCCTGAGCCAGGCTGATCAATCAGCTGTTTCCTCAGGCTCGGAGGCGGGCACAAGAAACCCGGCGGAGGGCGCGGCAACCGCTCCGCAAGCCGGCTGCGGCGTTTCACAGTCGGTGTGCGCACGCGCGGAGCTCTGCGAGGGGCGTGTGCTTTTGTGCGGACCTTGCTTTGTGCCTTCACTGTCCTGCCCTGGGAAGTGCTTTTGTCAGCTTCATGCGCTAGGGGTTTAGGGACACCCACATTCTGAATGTAGTCGCAGATGTGTATTACCTTGAAAGAGGCTGCGAGTCGTAAGCCTTTGTTAACCTAACATGTGGAGCCCATTTCACCGCACGCTGTAGGGACCTGTGTCCACCCGGCAGATATAATGCCTGTGCGGACCTCGCATCAGGAATGTTTCTCTTTAGGCAGAACAGGAGTGCGGGGATTACCAAGTGCCTCATGGATAAGTATTTTACTTTACCGTGTTCAGTTCTAGCGTCTGTTCAGTCCGATTCATTTGGGGAACGTGCTTTCTAAAGATTTGAATACTCTAGGACACTCTGGATTTCCAATAATTGTCGTGAAAATATGATTATTACATTTATAGCTAACTTATGCAGTATAGTAATGTGCGTAGGCTTGATGAAAGATTCCTATGTAGGGCAGGAAACCTGTCCGTATTTCTGTATGGTTGTTGCTGATTGGCTGTCTCTCTTACCCTCCTATTGCAATTGATCCCGGAGGTCGCTGGGCTGTCACTGGATCTCTGATGTTCTTGCCCTGGATGACACAAGTCTCTTCCTAGTGAGGGCTTTCCTCCTTCACCCAGAGCATTAACTCATTTACTCAACAAGGGCTTGTTGGGGGACCACTGTGACAGCAGAAAGGTTGGTAAAAGCCTTGAGCCACGCCCTAAGTGAGCCTACATGATGACGAGGAGATAACACAAACTAAACAAAATCACAAACTTAACATACGTGATCAAATGGTATAATGGAATTGAGGTGGGAGCCTCGGCGCCTCCATAATGTCTCAGGGAATACTTGAGAAAATACTCAGAGAAGTGAGTGCTTGTCTGAGACTGGGTGCAAGAGTAGGAGCTTTGGAGCTGAAAGGGTGGGAACGACAGTGGCTGTTCTGTCAAAGGGCACTCATTTCTTCCTCTGAGATCTTTCTGGAGGGTATTTACTGCTAAGCTAATGAAGCTTGTGTTTCAGGCATGCTAACTTTCGCTAGCCCTTTCCAAAGTCCATAGAGGAACTTTAGCATTGAGTTTACGTGATCATACGTTGTTTTCTACTTATTTATTAAAAGGAAAATGTCTTAAAGCACCCCTCAAAGAGGTATTGGTTAAGACCTTTTTTTTTTTTTTTTTCATCCTCTCCAACTTCCCTTCCTTCATAATTCCTTTCTTGCTAGATACGCTGGAGTGGCCTTGGACATTTTGGGAATCTGGGTGGGGGAAAGAGAGTTGAATTGAACTTGGGCCTCTTCGTGATAAGTTACTGCTGGCTTTCCTGGTGCTGGACTGGCTTCAAGCAAGACATGCTCTGCCATCTCAGTGCTATGATACAGGGATGTGTCCCTTGGCACCTGGCCCTAGAAGTATGTGGCTAGTGGAGGATAAAGTTTGAAGCCAGGAGCGGTGGTGCATGCCTGTAATCCCAGCAATTTGGGAGGCTGAGGCAGGTGGATCACTTGAGGTCAGGCGTTTGAGACCAGCCTGGCTAACATGGTGAAACCCCGTCTCCACCAAAAATACAAAAAAGCTGAGTGTGGTGGCACGTGCTTGTAACTCCAGTTACTCAGGAGGCTGAGGCAGGAGGATTGCATGAACCCAGGAGGCAGAGGCTGCAGTCAGCGGAGATGGCACCACTGCCCTCCAGCCTGGGCGACCGAGCGAGACTCTGTCTCAAAAAAAAGGGTGGGGGGAGGGGCTGGGCGCTGTGACTCACGCCTATAATTCCAGCACTTTGGGAGGCCGAAACGGGGAGATTATTTGAGGTCAGAAGTTCGAGACTAGCCTGACCAACATGGTGAAAACCCTGTCTCTGCTAAAAATACACACACACACACACACACACACAAATTAGCCAGGCATAGTGGTGGGTGCCTGTCCCCAGCTACTCGGGAGGCTGGGGCAGGAGAATCGCTTGAACGCGGGAGGCGGAGGTTGCAATGAGCCGAGATCACGCCACTGCACTCTACACTCCAGTCTAGGTGACAGAGCAAGACTCTGCCTCAAAAAAAGAAAAAAAAAAAAAGAGAGAGAGAGAGAAAGAGAGTTTGAAATGTACTAAACCGGAAGCTAATCTAGGGGAGATCTTCTGGTCATCACGTTTCTAAAACTGTCAGCAGGATGCTTTGTTTTTTGTTTTTAATTAACTATTTTGGAATTATTTTAGATTTACAGAAAAGTTAGAGTACATAAAGTTCCTGTCTACTCCTCACCCAGTTTCCCTAGTGTTAACAGCTTACATTACCATGATACACTTACAAAACTAAAGAGCCAACCAGGCGTAGTGGCTCACGCCTGTAATCCTAACACTTTGGGAGGCCAAACTGGGAGGATCATTTGAGCCCAAGAGTTCAAGACCAGCCTAGGCAACAAAGCGAGACCGCATCTCTATTTTTTTAAATAAATAAATAAATAAATAAAAAGAAAAAACAAAACAACTGAAAAGCCAAATATTGGTACATTACTATTTACTAAACTCCAGACCTCATTTGGGTTTTAGTAAGGTTGTTTTTCTGTTTCAGGATCTAATCTAAGATGCCACATTGCATTTAGCCATCAAGCCTCCTTAGTCTCCTCTGACCTGTGACCGTTTTTCGGTCTTTTCTTGTTTTTCATGACCTTGATATGACCATGACAGTTTTGAAGTCTGGTCAGGTATTTTGCAAAATGTCCCTCGATTTGTGTTTGTCTGATGTTTTTCTCATGATTAGACTGTGGTTATAGGGTTTGGGGAAAACATCACAAGATGAGATGACCTTCTCATCACATTATGTCAGAGGATACATGATATCACTCTACCTTATTACTGGTGAGGCTGACACATGGTAATATTTGCTAGTTACTCCACTATAAAGTTGTATTGTCCCACTTTCCATATTCCTTTCTTTGAAAACAAGTCACTAAATACTGCTCATACTCAAATGGAATGAGGATTCAGCTTCAACTTCTGGAGTGGACAATTGATAAATCTTATTTGAAATTCTGAAAGGAAGATTTGTCTTTCCTCATTTATTAATTTATATTTATATTCAATCATTTATTTATATAGACATATAGACTCTTGTATATTTATTTTATATTGTTACTCAATTGTTTCAGCTTTGGCCATTGGGAGTTCTTTTAACTAGGTTCATGTGTTCCTTTTGTTTTTTGATTATCTCCTTTTTTCTGGAACTATAAGATGCTCTGCGCTTATCTTGTATTTTTCCTTACCCAGCCCTAAAATCAGCCATTTCTCCTAGAAGTCCTGGAATGGTATTTAGAAACCAAGATTTAGGTACTGGATGATCTCATTGCTACTGGGATATCACTTAATTTATTGTTTTATTTTATTTTTTATGGAGATGGGGCCTTGCTGTGTTGCTTAGGCTGGCCTCAAACTCCTGGACTCAACTGATCCTTTTGCTTGGCATCCCAAAATGCTGGGATTACAGGTGTGAGCCACCATGCCAGGACCAGGATATTGTTGAATTTATCTTCTCTTACAAGATAGAGCTAGGAAATATATTACCACCTTGTTTTTTAATTCTTTGCTTACATCTCTATGATAGCCTCTAAGGTGACCCCCAATGATCCTTGCCGCCTGGTATTCATGCCCCTTGTGTAACCCCCTCTCCTTGAGCATCAACTTGCTTCTAATGAATAGAATACAGTAAGAATGAAAGGATGTCATTTCTAGGTTAGGTTACAAAAAGATTGTGGCTTTCATCCTGTTTGCTCCTTCTAGCTCTCCTTCACTTGCTCTGAGGGAAGACAGTGTCATATGTGAGCTGCCCTAGGGAGAAGCCCATGTGGCAAGAAACTGAGGGAAGCCTCTGACCAACACTCAGCAAGGAACTGAGGCTCTCCTTCCATCAGCTATGAGAAACTGAGTCCTACTAATGGCCATGTGAGGTGAGCTTGGAAAAATAGCCTGTCTCACTCAACCCTTGAGATGACTGAAGCCCCAGCTGACCTCTTGATAGCAGCCTTTTGAGAGATCTGAGCCAGAGGCACCCAGCTAAGCTGCACATGGATGCCTGATGCACAGAAACTATAAGCTAGTAAATTATTACTGTGTTGACAACTTTTGTAGAAATGTATTAGGAAGTGATATACAGGACAGGCGTGGTGGTTCACACCTGTAATCACAGAACTTCGGGAGGCCAAGGCGGGAGGATTCCTTGAGCCCAGGAGTATAAGACTGTCCTGGGCAACACAGTGAAACCTCATCTCTAGAAAAAATATGCATAAGGGACGGGTGCGGTGGCTCATACTTGTAATCCCAGCACTTCGGGAGGCTGAGGCAGGTGGATCACTTGATGTCAAGAGTTCGAGACCAGCCTGGTCAACATAGCGAAACCCTGTCTCTGCTAAAAATACAAAAAAAAATTAGCCAGGCGTGGTGGCAGGCACCTGTAATCCCAGCTACTTGGGAGGCTGAGGCGGGAGAGTCGCCTGAACCCAGGAGGCGGAGGTTGCAGTGAGCTGAGATCGTGCCATTGCACTCCAGCCCGGGTGACAGTGCAAGACACTGTCTCAAAAAAAAAAAAAATAAAAAAAATAAAGAAAAGAAAAGAAAAGAAAAGAAAAAAGAAAAAACATACATAGGGTAGCCAGGTGTGGTGGTGTGTGTCTGTAGTCACAGCTACTCAAGAGGCTGAGGTGGGAGGATCACCTGAGCCTAGGGAGGTTGAGGCTGCTGTGAGCCCTGATCTCAACACTGCACTCCATCCTGGGTGACAGATGAGACTCTGTCTCAAAAATTAAATTAAGTTAAATACATAAAATGAAATACAAAGGACACATTAGATAATTAACACAATTTATGTT